TACAGCAACTAGAAGGATGTGCAGCTATGACATACAACTATCTACTGGGGCTTTGGGGGGAAAAAATAAATAAATAAAATCTTTAAAAAGTATGTGCACTGAAAACAGTGAAAATTATATGCAGATAATAATAGTAATTATCTCTGGGTAGGGGGATTATAGATAACTTAAAAATTCTTTGTTTCTCTATATTTTCTAGTATTTCTGACATAAAAGTAGTATCTGAACTTAAAAGGGACCCCCAGAAATTCACCCACTATTTACAGCGTGCTTATGGTGCATTTGTCGTTGCTTTAGGCACTGGGGATACAGTGATGAACAAGAACATAGTCTCTATATTTCTAGTAGAGGAGAAAGAGAGACAATAAACTTAGGAAAGATGCTCCTTTAGAGCATCTTTAGAGACAGGAAACTGAGGCCAAAGATATTAAAGTGGCTTGCCCAAGGTCACAGCATAGTGGGCATAAAAATCCCACTTACCTGATTTATAGCTCAGTGCTCTTTCTATTATACCTTACTGGCTTTCTTGACTGTCAAGAATGGTATGCAGATTCTTGAGCATTCTAAATCAGAAGTCTAATCAAATTTTTCTGTGAGTCTCATGAAGGGATTCTGTACAAGGCAGTGTTGTGTAGAATAAGGAGCTGGGTTTTCTACCCAGTCATGTCAATAGGACATTTGGCAAATCCTTTCAGTTCTCTGGACCTTGTTTTCATCACCTGAGAAATAAAGAGATGAGCTGTTTTTCTTGTTACTTCCACAGTCCTATTATTTGATTTGGAGTTATGTATGTGTGTGTTTGTTTTCTCTACAGCCATACACACTGCTGCTATGGATATGCTGGGAGGATCTGGTATCGAGAGCCAATGTAGAAAGGTTGATATTATTGCAGATGCTGCATATACCATTTTCAAAAAGCCAAAAAGTTTTACTGGCAACTTTATTATTGATGAAAATATCTTAAGAGAAGAAGGAATAAAAAATTTTGACATCTATGCTGTTAAACCAGGTAATGCTTATAGTTTTTAAAAGTAGTGATGTGTTTTTCCTTATTTTCTGCAATGAACACACATATGTTTTGTGTGCATGTTTATGTGATTATAAAATTAGTATGCTCTTTTAAAAGCTGTCCTCCCAGTGAAGAGGAAACCCATACCAACACAACTTTAAAAAGAGAGAGAGGAAAAAATAAAAGTGAGTTGAGGGCTTTTAAAGTAATATATAGATACAGATCACATCGGCTATTAGCCATTTCCCGATCTTGAAACCAAAAATGAAAATTAGTTTTTAAGTTGGTCTTAAAATTACAGAGTAAAAATTTTATTCAAGGATATGCTAACAGATGATACAGTAGTGGGTTTTTTACGAGAACTTTTTAAGATTATGATCTCTTTCCAAATGTTTGTCTCTTAAGTGCAGCCTCTTAAAATAGCTTCATGAGAGATGGTGAAGGTGAGTGAGCAGGGTGTGATTTGAGAAGTTCTTGGAAGCTGTTGTTCAAAAATAACTCTTTCTGTCTGTAATTGCAGGTAATGATGGTGATGATAATGCATTTTTGCTTTATGTATAAGATAAAATATATACTAAATCATATACAATATAGCCATTAATGGGAGTTATAGTTATTTGTGCTCAAGTATATTTTAAATGTTATTCATGAAGTTGAACTTCTAGGCGACAGAATCACGTTTGTATTTCTGTCATCCTGTCTCTTCAGTTTGAACTGAATTGAATTAAATAGCTCTTTACAGTTTTATAAGGCACTTTTATACACATTGTCTATTTAACCTTCATAGCAATCCCGTGAGGAAAGAAGTATTGTTCAGTGATTAAGAACATGGAATTTGGGAGACAACAATCCAAACTCAGATTCCGGCCTGGCTGCTCGCTAGCTGTGCAGCGTTAGGCATGTCACCCACTTTCTCTGAGCCTCACTTTCCTTACTGGTAAAATTAGGGGAAGGATACCTACCACACAGAATTTTTGTAAGAACTAGATGCAATAATTTGTACAAGGTGCTTGGCACCATGCCTGGCACATGAGTACAACCACAGCGTTCAGTAGTTAATATTTACAGTAGAAAAACAGGCGCAAAGAGATGAAGCCTTTGCCTGCGAGCAGTCTGCTAGTACCTGGCAGAACCCGAACCAGGCCCAGGTCTGCTGAGTCCTGGTTCAGTGCGGTTATCACTGTAGGTTTTAAAGATACAGTGTCATTGTGCACAAAATTTTAAATTTGATTTAAATTAAAAATCCTATCAAATGTTGAGAACTTAATATGATTAGGTACTATGATAAGTGTTAGGATATAACAAAGACCAATGCACTCCTGCCCTTCAGTTTTTCTAATCTTCGGAGAGGGAAAGTCAGACAGAGATGGGAAAGAAGTCCTTCTTAATGAGGAACTCCCCTCTGTCCGGGGGCTAGGTAAGAAATGAGTCATGAGCTCTTTGGAGGGATGTAGGACAGAAGGGTTGCATGGATAGATGAGAAGGGGGCAGAGGCTCCTGGGAGAGCAGTTAAGGGCTTAACATAGCAGGTGACTGTGGTTGGATCTTAAAGATGAAATTTGCCATAGGAAAAGAGGATAACTGGGTTATGGGAAAAATATTTTAGCTTAATGAAGATCGGTAGTTTGACAGTTCTCATGGGGGTCTTTTCCACTGCACCAGAATGATCGTTAAAATGAAAACAGATATAATGTTTATTAAACAGATGTTAAAATCTTAATATATATTGAAGTTGTTACATTAACCTGATTATTTTTGGGGTCAATTTTTCAGGCCATCCTTTGTTACCAGATTTCTTCTTAGATGAACAACCAGATACAATTACCAAGAAAATGGAATCACATGGTAAGCTGTAGACCATATTTTATGTAGGAAAATGAAAATACTGACTTATGTATTTATTCCAGAATATAGATTTGGATATTTTTGCCTTCTGCTTTTAAACCATTTTGTAATTTCAACTAGACGAGTAATGTGAGGTCTTAGTTAATTCTAGCAAAGAAGGTTATCTTTTCCTTATACCAGTAAGAAGTTCTTAAAATATTCTTTTTTTTTTTTTTAAGATTTTATTTATTTATTTTTTCCCTCCAAAGCCCCGGTAGATAGTTGTATGTCATAGCTGCACATCCTTCTAGCTGCTGTATGTGGGACGCGGCCTCAGCATGGCCGGAGAAGTGGTGCGTCCGTGCACGCCCGGGATCCGAACCCAGGCTGCCAGCAGCAGAGCGCGCGCACTTAAGCACTAAGCCACGGGGCCGGCCCTTAAAATATTCTTTTTAATTGGTTAAAAAGAACCCCTTTTTTAAGGTTTTATTTCTTTTCCCTGGCACTGTCTTTAGGTATTTTGTGTTGACGTGTTATTTTATTTTGAGGAAAAACATGTCACATCAAAGTACCTCTAACACCATTCTCAGAGTTTGTGGCTAGGTGACTACTTTCTTGGAGAAATTAACTTCAAAGGAGGTTTTGGTTTTACTTTGTTTTGTTTTTGTAATTCAGAGACAATAGCCCCCTTGAATTGGTCCAGAGTTTACATTTGAGTCTTTGTGTTGTGGCATTATGCCGCTAGTTTACTGAAAGATGTCAGAAGAAATACTCTTGTATCAAATACCCACAGGGAGAATTTCTCTCATGGTTTGCTAACAAGAATAGCTGTGCTTCTTCTGGGCTCTTACCTTATTTTTATCTTATAGACACTGTGAGTCTCCTAAGTGATCATAGATTCTTTAAACAGCTGCTAGAAAATTTAGGAACAGATTTCCTTCAGCAAACCTGTACAACCTTACCGCAACTATAGAACCTTACCACAGTGCATTTTAGTGTCAAACCTTATTTCCAGCTTAATCTTATCTCTTCTGTCTGTATTTTTTTTGTCCAAATTTTTTGAGATAGTTTAAAAAAATTATTTAGGTAATAAAAGAGGCAACTTTTTTTTTTTGTATTACAGAACATGCAAAAAATATAGAAAGGGGGCCCGCCCCGTGGCTTAGTGGTTAAGCATGCGCGCTCCGCTACTGGCGGCCGGGGTTCGGATCCCGGGCACGCACTGACGCACCGCTTCTCCGGCCATGCTGAGGCCGCGTCCCACATACAGCAACTAGAAGGATGTGCAACTATGACATACAACTATCTACTGGGGCTTTGGGGAAAAAAAGGGAGGAGGATTGGCAATAGATGTTAGCTCAGAGCTGGTCTTCCTCAGCAAAAAGAGGAGGATTAGCATGGATGTTAGCTCAGGGCTGATCCTCCTGACACACACACAAAAATATATAGAAAGGAAAAAAGTTATTAATAATCCCACTACCTAGAGATAGCTCTTTTTAAAATTTTAAACATTTAAAACATTAGATCTTTGATTTGGTTGCCGCATGGATGTATCAGAGTATTAAAACAAGGCCGTCAGTCTTTTTCTGAAAAGGCCTCTTAAAAAAATAGCAGGAATTAGAGAGCTTATCAGAGTCTGGAAGAGTCTAGTCTTCAAATTACGCAAGTCCAAAATCATGGTTTTTGCCCAGCATCCTAAGATTGGATCTCTCTTTTGGAGGACGATATACATAAACTGAGCTCATTTAAATTCCAAATTTAAATAATAAGAACCACTTATTAAGCATGTGTATTCATTTTGTTTTTCAACAGATATTTATTGGTCATCTACTATGTGCCAAACACTGTGCTAAGTACTTTGCATGCATTGTCTCATTTAATATTTATGATCCTACAAGACAGGTATTATTATCCTCATTTTATATCTGAGATCACACAGCTGGTAGGTGGTAGAGCCAAGATTTAAATTCATATTTCTCTGATTCCAAGGCCCATAACCTTAACCAGTAAACTTAAATTGCTTTCCTAACTCCAGAATACTTCAAGTCCTTTAAATTAGCCTATTACCCCGCCAGTAATCCAATTTATTAATTTATAATGAAGAGTTGCCATTTCATGGACTAAATGTGTAGTTGCTATGATCAGCCTATTCTCTCCCGTTGGGCGTGATTACATAGGGAACAGAATCATAATCAGAAGGGTGTTTCATGACCATGGAATCAGGACAAGAGTGGTTAGATAAGTAAAATGTAAGATAAATGTTTATTGTCATCAGGCTTTGATAGGGACAGTTTTGCCTATGGGATCAGAATATGTCCAGTGCATTGACTGCAATCCGTATATCCATCTCCACGTGAGGGATGCCCTCATCCTTCTGTTCAGAATACTCCAATTCCTCTGGCTAAAGCTTCTCTTCCCCATACAGTGCTGGAGAGAGCATTTACCTCTGTAGCTCTCTTTTCCCTAGTCTTCCTGGTTAAGTAAACTGCAATTCCGCTTGACATTTTCTGTAGATATATTAATATAATATAGTCTTATAGCTGATAGTCCAGTATATCTGGCCTGGGATCTAACTTATCTCCTTCAGGCGATTTTTTACATCCAGATCCAGATCCATTGTATGTTGAGTTCACAGTTTCTCTCTCAGAGGTCAGTGTATGTCCCTCATTTCCAGGGGGAAGAGGCTCACATTTCTGTTGTACCCACTACTTAATAATCCTGTTAACATTTGATTGTACCTTTTCTGGAATCAGTGCTACATATATATTTGTTTCATATAATCTGTATGTAATTATGTAATATATTGTAAACTACGTGTATAATTTTTTTTTTTTTTTAAAGATTTTATTTATTTATTCATTTTTTTCCCCCCAAAGCCCCAGTAGATAGTTGTATGTCATAGGTTCACATCCTTCTAGTTGCTGTACGTGGGACTCGGTCTCGCGTTGGACGGAGAAGTGGTGCCTTGGGGCACGCCCGGGATCCGAACCCGGGCCGCCAGCATCAGAGCGCGCGCACTTAACCGCTAAGCCACGGAGCCGGCCCCACTACGTGTATAATTTTAATGTGCTTTTTTCCTCATATTAAAAGCAATACTGTCATTTCTTCATTGATACCCCCCCACACACTGTAACACAGGGAGCTCACTCAGTCTTTTATTTCTTTTTACCTCCAGTTTATTTTTGTTGTTTTCTTTAGTTATAGTTTTAATTGTTTCTGTTCCAGTTGTTCTGGATTTTCCTCAGAAACACTTATTCTTAGCCTGACTACTCTTTCCCTTTCCCCTGTAGTTAACCTCATCTCTTATTATTTCCATCTTTTTGTTCTTTTCTTCTGCATTCTGGGAGGCCTTTTAAGGTTTGTACTCTATGTTACTGCTAAGATTTTGCCACTTCCATCTGTCCCATATTGCCTCTAATGCTTAGTTTAATTTTGCTGTTGTACTTTTTGTTTCTCATGTTTCCCATTTCCTTTTTCATTTTATTCTATTGTCTTTTCATCTCAGCCAGTTATATATGACTTTCCACCCCTGTTTCATATAGTTTTCATGTGGAGGAATTCTCGTGGGTTTCATAGTAAGTTATTTTTAGATATAGTCTTTTGCTCTTCAGAATAACCTTCCATTACCCTTGTGGTACCTTGTTTTTTCAAAGGCATCGGGTTACTTTTTTCCCTGTTAATTCATCCTCATATAAAGAGATATCTCTAGAGCTAGTGTAGGCAAATGATAGGGATGTATAAGTTGCTTTTGGCTCCACTCCCTGTCCATCTGGTGGAAATCCTCTCTCAGAGCTGTAGTTTCTCTTATGGTACCTGTTAGGCATATAGCTAGTGCCAGTGTGCAAGGCTGACATGGGACCTTCTTTTACCTCCTCTGCTTAACAGCTACTCACCCCAGCATGCCCTCCTGCCAGGGTTCTTCCCCTCCCCATCTTGATCAGTCTTACAGGCTTTGGGGCACGTACTTCCCGGATGAACCACCACCAGGGCTCCCCCAGCTGTCTGCTCCTCTGTTATTTGGGAGCTACAAGCTTTGAAGTGTGATTTGAAAGATGGAGGCTTTCTTAAAAAGCAGCTTCATAGAACAGACGGACAAATCCTAGTCTTCTCGTTGGTGCCAGCCTAGAGTCTGATCCAGTGGTTTAAAAATGTGAGAACCTTTCCTCTTTGTTTAGGTGAGCAGAATTCTTCTTCCTTCGAGATCTTGCACGAGGCGAAGCACAGGCAGTCCTGTGTTTCTTAGGCCGACTCTGGCTACCTTAGACTTACTGACCATTTCTCCCTAGATTCTGACAATAGATTGTGTGTCAGTCTAGGTGATGTTTAGTATTTGTATTTTTTAAAATACATTTTTGTATTTATTTAGTATGAAGTTAGGAGAGGCTGTGTCAGGGGCTGCTAGCCATATACCTCTTTAAAAAAATTATTTAGGGCCGGCTCCGTGGCTTAGCGGTTAAGTGCGCGCGCTCTGATGCTGGCGGCCCGGGTTCGGATCCCGGGCGCGCCCCGAGGCACCACTTCTCCGTCCAGCGCGGGGCCGAGTCCCACGTACAGCAACTGGAAGGATGTGAACCTATGACATGCAACTATCTGCTGGGGCTTTGGGGGGAAAAAAATGAATAAATAAAATCTTTAAAAAAAAAAAATTATTTAGATGCTGTAAATAAAATAAATTAAAAAATAAATAAAAAATAAATTCTCTAAGTGTCTCTTTTCCAATAAAGCTTACATATTTGTAGTGTACTGACTGTATCTTTCAAATATATTACTGGTTTGTTTTTTGTCTTCTGAAGTTTTGTTCTCTTGCACAGTCATCGTGCGACATCTAAATATTCCAGGGGATAAATTATGCAATTTATCGCTTGGCAAATGTCTTCCAGGCTGCACTAAAGTTTTTGCTGCAATCTTCTGGGCACTTCAGATGATACTGATGATGTATCTTGATTAATAGACAAATCACCTGCAATAGTCACCTACTAGTTAGGGAGAAGTTCCGGCAGTTATTTATTTATTTATTTATT